CTCTGCATAAGAGGACATATCTTGGCAGCAGTCAGGAGGCCCCCTCTGCACAAAATGTCCTATCTGGGTAGGAGCCAGGAGGCCCCCTCTGGCAGGAGATCCTATATGGGCAGGAGGCCCCGAGACTCCCTCTGCACAGGAGGCCCTTTGTGGGCAGGAGCCAGGAGGCCCCCTCTGGCAGGAGACCCTTTATGGGCAGGAGTCCCCTCTGGCAGAGGACCTTTTATGCTTAGGAGGCCCCTTCTGGATGGGACGCTCCCTTCTGCACAGAGGGCCCTATCTAGGCAGGAGCCAGGAGGCCCCATCTGGCAGGAGCTCCTTTATGGGCAGGAGACCCCGAGGCTTCCTCTGCACAGGGGCCCTTTCTGGGCAGGAGTCAGGAGGCCCCTCTGGCCTCTTGAACGAGACCCTTTATGCCCTCTCCTGATGGAAGGCTCCCTCTGCACAAGAGGCCCCTTCTGGCAGGACTCTCTCTGGATCCCCTCTGGAAGGAGACCGTCTCTGGGAAAGAGGCCATCTCTGGATAGGAGGCCCCTCTTCACAAGAGGTCCTATCCGGGCAGCGCCTCGCCCTGGCAGGGCATTTTTCATAACGCGGCCTGGCAGAGGGGGGGGTCGATGCGACCCCCCTCGCGATTGGATCCTATGGCACCTAGAAATACCAAATTTGGTAGGTAGGTGGCCCTCTTAAAATCCTCGTCCCTGTGCAAATTTGGTTGCTCTAGGTCAATATTTAGGGGTTTTTGGGAGGTATAATTGTAAAAAATTTGCTAAAACAGGTCAAAAGTTTTCGCTGATAACTTTTGATCTAATTAACCCGCGCCGGGCAGGTGCTCCGCGACTTCCGCGCCGGGCCGGGGGGGGTGTCTGAAAACCCCCCTTCTAACTCGGCTCCTGGGTCACGTAGCGACACGCGGTAAGCGGCATTCAAAAGAGCGTCCAAAATAAGTACGAAAACACTTCAGTCATTTTTTGGGTCAGGTCAAAGGTCAGGTTACCAGAGGTCACCAAAGGTAAAATGTTGGCTATTTCAACATTTTGGAAACTGCCAACGGCTAACTCGGGAACCGATAGAGCTACAGCGCCGCGGAAAAGCGCATTCGATAGCTCTTTTGACGCTCTTTCGCCAACATGTCCTCAGATTTGACCTCAGGTCAACGGTTTAGCCTCCAGAGGGCAAAAACTCCAAAAATAACCGTTTTTTACGAACAGTGTTTTTCGGCAATAACTTCTGACTCAAAAAAGCCACGACATTACTTTTGCCAGAATCGTGTTCCTCTTGTCAAAACGCGTCGAATGAACTATAAGTTGACCTTGAAAAGTCAACTTAAAAATTTGACCTCAGGACCTGACCGGAAAAGGTCATGTTGCATATCAGTCGATCCGCATCGTCGAGCCGAACACATCTAAGGCGTTTTCATCGCTCTATCATGCCTCTATCAGAAGTTATTAGCAAAAAACTGTTAGATACTATTCGTGACCTGAGATGACCTCGGGGACATCTCAGAACGAGGGGTCATACTCCGGGTCACAGGTGCAATTTTCGGGTTCAGTGTGTCCATTTTACCTACATCCCGATGTTTGAGAGTGTCTAGAATGGCGTTCGTGCAAAACAGACGCCTTTCAATTTTCTCCCATTGAATTATAATAGAGAGGCCGCAAAATTGACCTGACCTTAGGTCACCGATATCGAAATTCCGAGATACACGTTTAATAGGTTTTTATACACGCTTTTATAGGATACACGAGATACACTGTTACTCTCATCAATCGCTGAAAGTTTCAAGGCAATCGTGCGGTCGGTGTAGCCATGACGAACATTCTAATTTGTTTCTGACCTTACCTTGAGAGACCTGGGTCTGAAATTTTCACAGCATGTGCGGAAAAGATGCACGAACAGGTGTGTTAAAAACGGCGGCGCGGAGCTGCGAAAAGCCGCCGGGGGGGGGGGGGTGTTCAAACACCCCCCGGCCCGGCGCGGGTTAAGATAGAGCAAAACAAAAGCACCAGTGAACTCAGCACGTCAAGGCGTGTCGAATGATATACTTTTTTTGTTTGCTTAAGTGTACTTAAAAGTGTAGGTATTAAAGTGTACTTAAGTGCACAACTTAAGTAAAACTTAAGTCTTAGGAATGGTTGAAATGCTTAACCCGCGCCCTGGTGGGGTCTGTTTATAACGCGACCTGGTGGGGGGGGGCTATTTTTTGCCCCCCCTCGTATCTCCGAAACTACTGGACGGATCCGAAAAATTCAAACGGCGTTCGAAAGGCCCGTCAAATTTGTTGAGGGAAACCAAATTTTATTGACCTCGGGGTCACCGATGACGTCACAGGTCAGGTCAAAGATGAAATGTTTCACCGTTCACGGGTCTTCTAGGGAATGCGCTATAACACCGAGGAAAACGCATTTTGTCGGGAATCAGCGATAGGGCGTCAGTTGCCTAGTAGATATGTTGCTGTTAGAGGTCACTGGTCATACCAGGTCAGGTCACAGGTCAGGTCACCAAAGGTCACCAAGGGTCACCACATGAACCCAACTTTACTAAGGTTATGCGATGCATGTTTTATGGCCAGTTTTTCATTTCCAACTCAATGGTGTTGGTTATAAGACCATCAGGTACGGTTTAGGTCACTTTCTGTCTAATGGTGCTCTTTGTTTTGCGCTACGAGGTCTAGAATTGCTGAAAATTGAGTTTGAAAATTTGACGTCATCAATTTTGAACAGTTTTTTCGCTATAACTTGGCCAAAAAAAGAGGTATCGATCTCAAATTTGGTATGTAGATAGAAGGCGGTAAGTACTATCACATATATTCCGGTTTTTTGAAATTCAAAACACTTTTTGGATTTTTTGGCTATTATATTCAAAAAATCTATTTTTTGATTTTTGGGGGTCAAAATCCCAAAATTTCAAAAATCCGAGATAGCAGTTTTGTAGCCCTGTCCATTCTACAGCTTTTATGTTTGTATCATTTTTCTGTATTTGCAAAGCTATAGGCCTGACAGCTCTTCCCGCGAAACCCTTTTTTGGGTCGAAAACGGCAGAACATGACGTCACTCTGACGTCATTTCCGGCCAACCTATCATAGCCTTTGGAAAAATTTTTGGTCACAATGTGTAAAATTGATGTCCGGGAGGGTACTGAAAGTTTGGTGACGATCGGCGCAGTGGTTCTGGAGATATATCGAAAAGTCTGGAAGGGGGGCAAAAAATAGCCCCCCCCCCCCACCAGGGCGCGGGTTAATGTTGCATATCATTCGACTCAGCTGTTCAAGAGGAACAGAATGATACCATTTTGAAACCTGTTCTATTATGTGACAAGTTATCGGCACAAACGTCATTTGACCTGAGTTGACCTCATTTGACCTGAACCTTAGATAAGTACACCAAACAAAGAAACACCGAGTGACATTATGTTAAGTACTGTGGTATCAAAGAACAAAAGGGATACAACGAAGCGGACATCTCTATATTTTCCGAATAGGAGTTATTTGAATATTTTCCCATAGGCTTAACATTACGACGTAATGACCCCTAACTGACCTCAGGTCAGTGACATAAAAAACGAACTACATATTATACAGCTCGGTGAACTTAGCACATCCTGAAAGTTTGAAGGAAATCAGTCCAAAACTGTGCGTTGGACAGGTACATAAAAAATTAAATTTGACCATAACCTTGTACCAGTTTTTCTGACATGGTGGCCTGACCCAAGGTCGACCGGACCTGAAATTTGCAGATCACATGAAAAAAGGTTGCCCCATAGGTTGTGCCAAATTTAGCGGCGTTGCGCGCCGCCAATTTTACGCTATCTTTGAAAAACCTTAGGGGGGGGGGGGTCGCATCGACCCCCCTGCCAGGGTGAGGGTTAAGCTTTACTAATAACGCTAAGAACGTCACCAAACATACAGAGGCCGTCAAAAAGTAAGCCATTTGGAGGCCCCCTCGATAGAGAAAAGGCCCCCTGGCAAGCGGAACACGGAGGCCCCTTTGAGCCCGGGCCCCCTCCCCTGGAAAATCCTGGGTGCGCCCCTGGCTCAGTGCACGCATTGTCCACAAAGTGTGCACTGAGCCTCAGACCGCACTCAACCGTGCCACTCTGTGAACATTGCTTTTTCTACCGCAGTGGCTTTAATCAGTCCCGTAACAACTAAGCCGGCAAACGAACATAAGAAACAACAGCAAGCTCTGCTCTCTGTTGGACGATGAAAGTTGAAACCCACTCAGTACAGACAAGTCATTTCACCATTCTATCTCATCTCGGAAATAGCAAATACCCGCCAACCTTTTCGGGGGACTGAAACTTTCCGCCCGTCAGTATCAGCAACACTGATAATCTATTGACCAAACCAAGCCAGCAATACATGAATTTAGATATGCGCACATGCAATGATTGTGCCATAATAAAGCTATGTTTTTTGTCCGGTTGGCCACTGACTAGAGTGGGGAGGCGAGGGCCTTAGTAGCGCCTCCATGCATTGCCGACTATTCACGATAACGCAATAAATGAAATGATCATGTGAACGCCTTTATTCTTTTTAGCAGTTTCCTTGTCAATTTCACATAGTCGGATATGAGTTATGTTTCAACAATTTTAGAATTATGGCTAGTTTTATTAAGTGTATCATTACAAAACAAATTAATTTAAATAAGTTTTCCTCGTTTCCGTTTTTTTGCACATCACCCACGGCCACATCAACAGCTTCAAGGCGAAGGGAGAGAGAATAGAACCACTGAGCGACTTGGCGCGCGATAAGTGCACATTGGACACAAGACAAAGCCCGTAGCTTTTTACTGGGTGGGTAGACTAGCCCGCCGTGTTCGCGTGTACGGCGGCACAGTATACCTCCGCAGCATTCAGCCGCTGCGCCCAACGCCCATGAACGAAACAAATCAAAGATATTTGAGGGAGGGAGGGAGGGAGGGAGAGAGAGAGAGAGAGAGAGAGAGAGAGAGAGAGAGGGGGGGAGAGTAGAGAAAACAAAACGGCATAAGAAGACTTGCAACTAGTTATTTTTATTGATGAAACACTTCAACAAATCATTTGCCATCGCTTACGATCATGAAAGCTAACTACAGATATCTATCTTGTGACATAAAATGCATAACAGTAAACACTGCACTACAGAGATCAATCGAGTGGCACCAAAGACAGACACTGCAGAGTGCACAACTAATACTCCAACCGCTTCATTCAGGAGCTAACTAACCACGATAGACTAGGGTAACAGTAAAGCTCATTCTGTATATATTTGTAAACTCTAAAAATGTACAACTCACGTTATAATTGTTAGCTATCATTCAAAAACCCTATCAAACTTGGCACCCATCTGGCCATTGCTATTTTATTGCTTCATCTCCTGTTCAACACGTCTAACATGAAGGCAATTTCTTTTGACCTCACAAGTTTCCTCAGCCACGAACCACACAACGATGCACGCGCTTTGGCTCGTGTAACGTGAACCTAACTTACGTTGGCCAGCGTACTTATCTCTAAAAGTCAACTCGAATTATCATTCAGCCAGCATCTTGGGAAGAGAGCAAACTCTCATTTCACGTTCATTGTTCTTCCCCATTTTCAATCCAGTAATCTGCACATGCATTTAAAATAAAACTCCTAATTAGCATCAGCAGGCTAATCAATTCCTGTTGTCAATGCCAGCAGCGCGAGCCTTAGTTCCAAAGCTCACAGATTGTAGACGTTTTATTCGAACACCGGATTATCTGCCTGCCATCGCTAAATGTTGTAGGTAGCGAATAAGCCCCCGTGATTCCGATATTGTCAGCATAGCTTCCCCAACCTCTGTCGTGCACATACGCGTTCACAAATATGCGCTCATATTCCCGCGACGCCACTACTGACATCAATTTAACAGTGACCCTCACTAGCAAATATCAACGATAACCAGAACAATTCGTTCAATCATTGTCAACAAATATGATAAATGGCAATACCATAACTACTGTCAATCAAGACATCCTCATAAGACCAGTGCCCTATGGAACAACTTCAAAATTAAGGAGCTCCCAGAGATCAATTTCATTAATCCCAGTCTCACAAACCACTTTCATAAAATTCGATATAGGCTAATGAATACTCTTCAAATTTGTCATACCAAGTAACAACTATGTTTATCACACTTTCATAACTAACGCTCTTTACCTTGAATCTCACTTGGCACCCAACATGATTCCACCCTTACATTCGAGTCTGTGCATCCATCCTTGCCTCTAAGTCGTTCCCACATCCGAGAGGCTTATCTCTCTTTCAAAGCATGCCTTGTCCATCCCTCTATACCGGGCCCCCACAGATCTCCACAGCGCTACCCCCGAGGAGCAGGTCCTCGCCAGTCGCCCCTCCCTCCAACGGCTCTCAGCGTTGGTACTCGTGGTCGCTAGACAGCACCTTGATGCTGGAGAACTGGGTGTCGATAGACTCGCGTTTGTCGTAGAGCGAGGGCGCCTGGAATATGATGGCCACGGCGCCGAGGACGCACGCCACCATGAAGAGCCAGAGGAACAGTCGATCGAGCACCATGGCCATGTACTTCCAGTCCTGCGCAATCTGCCGACCGAGATGGGTATGTGCGCGGGAAGGGGTCGTGTAGGTAAATCCTATGACATAGCAAACGAATATAGGGTAAGTGAACACGATACATAGAAGTGGTTTGGATGTATCACTTCAATGGGTCATAAGCAAATGGCCGAAATGTGAGCTCTCAAGTCGTTTCGTAATAATGTAAAACAGCTGACAAAGTAAAGTACTGGCAACTCTGAACAGAGTCAACCGTTAAAAGTAATTAACACATGCCATGAACCTAGCCCATTTTCTCACTGCCTTCACCACATGATTCAAGTTTGCGGCCGACGTTAGAATCAGGTTTCACATAGCGGTCCGAGCTAAAATGCATCCGCCTGACATTTCAGAGACAGCTAGCCGGTATGGAACCGCCTTTAAATATTCAAACTAAGCTTCCAGCAGCCATAAAGATTCCGTCGCGAACATTTGTAAACCACGTTTGGTGTACGGGCGCCTACACAATCCTTCCGTGACTTATATGTTCAACTAAAGATCAGATTTCGGCTCTTGAGATTTAAAGATACGAAATTAACAGCCCCAGCTAGTTCCGGATGTTTGAGTAGAGCGAACATTCTCCGTTATAAATAAAACAATTATTTCAAGGAACCTATTCGTCTCGTAGCTCAGTTGGTAGAATGTTGCACTCGCAATAGTTGGGGCCGGGGTTGCATATGCCCCAAAAGCTCAGTGTGTGTAAGAGACACCTGACGAGGGTCGAGGTTTTTGTGCGGTTGATCGGAGCTTAACGTCAGTCAGTTGAGTCCAATGGGTAGGACGGATGTGTCTAGCTAAATGAGCAGGCCAAAGTGATAATTTTAGCATAAATCCACAGCTACATAGAGTTCGAAAATTGCATCACACGGAGACAACCAACGATTGTAAAATGCTAAATATGGTGTAGTTCAGGCCCGTCTAGATAAAATTTTAGTCCACCTGCACCTGCAGAACGAAATGTGAGCTGATGGCCCTCTATGAAATTGCAGCCATTTTCGTCCATGGTATGTACCCGTATAATTCAGTTGCAGGACAGACGAAACGGTCTAGCGTTAGCGTCACAAAAAGTCTGAACAATGGCCAAGCACCGAAATAGATGCCCTTCAGTAATTGTCTCACTACCTCACTACCAGCTCTACTAAAGAAACATCAAAGGCAGAATACATCAGAGGCTTTCTCTAGACACCTTTGTAAGAGAGAGAGAGAGAGAGAGAGAGAGAGAGAGAGAGAGAGAGAGAGAGAGAGAGAGAGAGAGAGAGAGAGAGAGAGAGGGAGAGAGAGAGAGGGAGAGAGAGAGAGAGAGGGAGAGAGGGGGAGAAGGAGATAGAGGGAGAGGGAAAAGAGAGAAAGAGAGAAGTGAGAGAAAGGGGATATAAAGCGGGTAGGGGGAAAGAGAGAGGAGGAGAGAGATAGAGTAAGTGAGATAGAAAGAGAGAGAGAGAGAGAGAGAGAGAGAGAGAGAGAGAGAGAGAGAGAGAGAGAGAGAGAGAGAGAGAGAGAGAGAGAGAGAGAGAGAGAGAGAGAGAGAGAGAGAGAGAGAGTCCTAGGCGCCGGTCGGACGGCCGTTTGGACCATTAAATGCCATCGCTTTTCAGAAGCAGTCTGCGTCTTTCCCAAAGTGTGACGTTCGCTCACTCAAATGTGCGCTAGAGAGCGACCACCATAGCGCATGACTGGGACACGGCTACGGCGATCCCACAGGGATGGATATTAATGATGGCATCAGTTCCGTTTCTGGAGACTAATGGCTAGGGAGGATGGTATTATGGTGTCGCTCTGTGTACTGCGAGCGTATATCTTCATGTCTACCAATGCTGGCCAAGGGATCAGGCCGTATTCCCTCCTGACCACAAAGTTTTCCCGTGGCAGGCGGGAGAGGATGGCTGCGGTTCTCTCGGGGGTCTTTCTGTAAGAGCGTGGCTGCGGCACACTTCGGGGCCTCTCATACGATAGCTGTGCTTTTCCCATGCGGGTTTCTAGGACGGCGAAAGAGCTTCCCCGGGTCTTTCTCAGAGGGTGGCCATGGCTCTACCAGGTATTTCTCAGAAGGTGAGTGCGGCTCTCCCGGGTCTCTTTCAGAGGGTCGCTGAGCTCGCGCGGTGTCTCTCCCGTGCCCACCTCATTGGTGTCGTCCTCGTTTTTGATGTGCCGGGCGATGTACCGCACACTATCCAGGGCGCGCCGAATCTCGGGGGAGTAGCGGTGCTCCTCGGAGGCTGGCTCGGTGCTGTCTGAGGCGGCAAACAAGCAGACGTGAGCGAGTGGAAACGGAAGTGCCCACAAACACTTACATTATGCATATCATTACCAGATCACAAGAACAGATGCAAGGTTCATCGTCAGCCAGGACACAAGCTACTGGAGAGGTTCAGTTTTCTTTTATCTGCCTCATTTACATATCATACGCCTGTTTAGCATAACATCTGTGAGTCTTGAGGCCAGCGAAATAAGAGTGCATGCATACGTTCAGGAGACAAATGTCTTACAAACTACACTGTTAACCCTGCACCAGCACTCACGCTACCTACCGTGCTGCAGCGACCCCAGCTGAGAAGTGACCAGTCCGGTACGTGTTGTAGAGGAGCCGTTGGTCGCGCTCGGCGACTGCAAATCGTACCTGAACAAGGCACACGTCGGTAACGATATCAGTCAGAGCATCCGGCATAGCACGATGAATTGAGACCCGAAATTTATCTTTATGATGTCTTTCTCAGACTAGCATATCCTCTCACGAGCTTAGTCCTCCCGAACACATTGCCTTTCGTCCCTTTCACGTCCGATGGCCCCTCCCATGTCCTCTCACAGCTCGGTATCCTCTCAAACCTTCCGCGAGCACACGCACTGTGCGTTACCTCGCACTGCACAGCCTCTCACAGCCCCCAATCACTTTTAGTTACGCCAGTCGAGCGCGGGTCTCGCGGGACATCTGTCAGACTCTACTTTGACACAGTGCCGGAGCCTACGCAGCCTCACTGGCTTACGCAAATCGGCGGAAACTGCGCTAATGAAGTCAGAGAGTCCCCCTGGGTCCAGGCAGGCCTGGAGCCTTATAACAGACGCACCAGGCATGCGAAGTGTCCTCATTCATAGTCGGAGCGTGTTGGGGAGACTGGTGCCTCCCTGGTACTGTTCTGAGAGCGACAGGCCAGGGGAGCGCTGGCGACCGCAGAAGTCAATGAGCGGAATATCAATATCATAATGGAAACTGGTGGATGGTATCAGGCAATATACTTGTTCAGTTGATGTGCATGCAAAACATGCATTTCCAAGGAATTATCGTAGGTAGATTACACCAAATAGCTGTGTTTTCATATTATAATGGAAAATAAATGAATGACGACTCAATTTACCGCTAATATAAAAAATGGAATAAAGGATTTCTGCCATAGACCTGGAATTGCGCGATCGAAGGGTAGAGGGCAGGGTCACCGCAACAAGCTTCGCCTAGCGGTGGCTCTGCCCTTGTGAATCCTTCCTATCAAAAGATTCGGACTAAATTAAAAAAAAACTACAGTTATATGAAAGGTGTTGCCGAAAACAACACGTTAATTAGGGCCTTTACCGAAAAAAGATAATTAATTCGACTTCAAAGAACGTAGCATGGCAAACGACAGCGGCTGAGAGAAGAGCGGGACGCCCCGACGCCGGCGCCGGGCCGATGCATCGACTGCCAGATCGTCGGCCCATAACTCACCGTAAACCGGTCGGCTATCAGCCGTGGCGGCTCAGCCTGGCGTCTGTCAGTCCGTCTGTTATCAGATAAATTGGTCCGCCACATGCTCGGCTGGCCCACGCACGCCTGCCGAGATGGACCTAATATGGGCCCATGAGGGCGCAGCTGTACTTTAGCGGCCTCCGGCCACAAATCAGCCTTCTCAGAGCTGGGCGCTAGATGGAAAGGCGGCGATGGCTCGTATCAGACGCGTTGTGAGTGTCGAGCCACGTCTCAGTACCCAGAGACACGGCGGTGCCAGAGATCTGAGGCGCGTCGCTGCAGTCGTAACGACTACGTGTAGTCAAACGCATTTTCCTGATGGTGTCTAAATGCTAATGATATTGCTGAAAACGTCCGTGATAGTGTCAATTTCAGTAGTCCCGAAGCCCACGCCATTGTTTGTATGCATTTGAAAATGCATAAATAATCCTTCCGACTTTTTAAATTGCTACGTTTCTAACTCAACTCGATGTATGATTAAATGAAATGAACAAGTAGCAGATAAATTATTTAAATGGAGACCTGACTGTCACAACCTTGCATAGTTAAAACATTTTAGATTACATGTTTGCAGGGAGTCGTATGTGTGCGGTAACATTGACGATGGCCTAACGTCAATATGAACGGCCATCCTCTGGGATTGACGCAGACAGCCATGTCCCCCGACGGCAGGGGATGGCGGGGAGGATTTCTGGGGGTCTGCGGGTGGGGTGGGATCAGGCATTGGTAGGCCACAGAGGAGGCGCCTGGGGCCCGGCGCGATCCTTGAGATCAGGGGGCTCATCGAAATAAATGGAAATGCGGCCGCCGCGGCTGGTCTGCCGCTGGGCATGGACTCGATGAATCAGAATGGTATTTGTGGGACCACTTATAGTTGAATAAAGTGGAATGAAAAACTTGGTTTATCCTAGACTTGCTTGGTCCAATCAAGACAATTTATAATGTGTAAGAAGACATCGTAACCGAATGGATATTATAACAGCGTGGTTGCAGGAAACCAGCCTAGTCATGTGCAATACTGTACATCTTCATAATAAAAAAGAGCATTCCACCAGACATTGTAATGCTACATTTACCTTACCTTACATAGGTACTACTGACCTTTATCGCTGACTGACATTATACAACCGACTGCAAAATAATTAATGAAATATTATATGCCAACAAAATACAAAATGCATTATTTAAGCTAACCAATTACTTCTAACTGGAGGGGAAAAAATAATACCTATTACCTGCCACCCGCTAAGTCCGATTTTGATTGGCGGAGCCATTCGCCTTCTGCGCTGACCTCACAGGGGTATCACTGACCTTGTGTAGAGGTCGTTTTTGACGCCGTTCGGGTTCGTGTAGAGGTGAGCGTGGGGGTCCATCGGCCTGCGAGGACCGTAGGCGGGCCGGCGCATCATCAGCATACCCGGCATCATGGTGAGGAAGAGCCGCCGCACCCAGGGCGACATCTTGTGGGTGGCCGGCGAACTGACGACGGCAGCACAGGCGGGTCAGAGGCGGAATGCAGCTTCGGCTATGGGAAAGAGGTGAGTTTTTTATGAAACAGTGTCTTCTCTCGAACTTCGACGTGTGTCACCAGCCCATTATCTGTCCTGTATCAAAGCTGAGTCCTATTACCTAGCCTGAACATTGAATGGCGTCGGTTTCGTCTCGTAGTCGTCACTAGCATAATAATTATCTCTTTTTTTCGCAAAACTAGAGCTCTATGGGGCAGAACGGTTAGGGTTCAGAACGATCCCCTTATACGCAGACCACTGTGAAAAGACCAGTATATAGGCGAATGGCCAAGCTAAATAAAACGTTTTGTTTTTATAGTTCTAGGAACTTGGCGATGCTCGAGCAAGTACCCACTGCCCAGTCGGCAGAGGTGCATATCATGCACATCCAGCACTTTGTGCTAGTGGGGAATATCAAAGCAGAGTTGTTCAGCAATGTATGTAGTGCATGCACGTACATACGTAGCACTTATAAAATACAAAGGTCAGTCACCGCGCACCGACGAATGGCACGTCTTCAGCCTTTATTTCAGCGGTTTTGCAGAAACGTCACCAGCCGGAGCCCCACAAATTGACACTGGTCTAATCTGGCGGTATTTCAGCCCCAGTTTCTGAGCTTCTTCCAGATAAATGTGCGTCAGAGCTGGCTGTTTTTGTCAGGCTAGGCTAGGAGCCGGACGGGCCACAGTAATACCTACTCCGATTCGCGCTGAAATTTCATTTCTAAATAACGCATCACAGCACACTGCACGGCAGTGAGATAGGAAAGTCGAATGAAAGAAGGTTTCGAGCATTGCCCTGCAGCCCACATACAATTATCGACAGCATGCAAAGCGTTGTAAAATTAGCAAAAGTCGAAAACATCAAACGTCATGTTTATGGTTGGGTGGTCTCTGTTTTGGCATTGTATATGTATATTATTCAATATATACAATGCCAATAATAAGCACATATATTTAACACAATAGGACGGTTATTGCTGATTGAAAGTCAGTCCTGGGGTCAGTTTTAAACTTCTTGAAAGGTGTCATTTTCTTAACTGAACTAGAGTTGTCAATATATTATGTAAAATACCGGCCTATTTCCTCTTACATACATACAACCAGTTGCGAAATAAGTGCATGAAGAAGTAAATGATTTACCTCTGAAGTAAAGCTAAAAAAAAAAGTTACATCACTCCACCGTATTGTTATTTTCCTAATAAGTTAACGTTGAGCGAGTAGATTTCGTCTCTGCTCTTCGAGTTAGCGTAAGAACGAGCCATTTCTGATTCAGGCCCGGTGCCCGTGGGCGGTCAGAACCACTAAGTATCTCTGCCAGTGACACACTGCACCCCGACCCCTGCCACACGACACTTATTCAGCTGCTCTCTGGAGACTGGAAAATGGCCGGATGAAGCGCTATACGAATTGCAAAGTAGGCGCTGGATAAAGCCCAGCAAAGCCTCGTATTGTCTTCATATGCCGCCTGTTGAATACCAACATCGAGGGCACAAGTGCATTTTCACTTGTAATGTTACGGTGTTTCCGACTTAGTCGGAGTTGCCGTGAAGATATCACAAGCATTTTCGCTTCAAACGTTTGTTTTCTGGTAGTAACTATCTATCGACTGGGCAGCATGCGTCTTAGTTTGAGAAGATGTAAGCATATATGCTTGCCGCTTCTCAAATCGCAATAAACGGCGAGTTGTATGATTTACTATAAACATGAAATACAACATCCTTTCTTTGAACGAGTTTACTGCAATTCTAGTCTCCGATTTGTTCTGTGGAGCCAGTAGGTCGGATGGTAGGTACTGGTGGCCATCTATAAGTGTAAAAAGCTCATCTACCTTGTGGCATATCAATCCTCTCCATCTAAGATCATTTTCATTTCATGTTTGTGGCAATGCACGAAGTCCAATGAGGTCATGATACGCCCCTCGTCTAACCAACGCTGCCAGTATTGAGGTATCCTGGCCACTGGCACATATCGCGTGCGTTGGTCATTTGCGTTAAAACCCGCGCCCCGCAGGGGGGGGGGCGAAACGCAGCCCCCCTGTCCTTTTCCGTCGATATCTCCTAAACGGCTGGAGATATCGCCACCAATCTTTAACCCTCGCCCATGTAGGGGGGGGGTTGGTGCAACCCCCCCCCCCCCTGAGGCTTTTCGGAAATAGTGCAAAAACGGCGGCGCGCAGCGCCGCCAAATTTTGGGTACCTTATGAGGCAAACCTTGCGCATCTTTTGATTAAAAAAAAATTTGACCGGGTCATGTCAGGTCACGGAGTTATGACGTCACAAAGGGAACAGCCTCCGGCCGGATTTTTACAAACTGAGTGCCAACGCCCGAGGTTTCCTGCCGGTGGTACGGACATCGGTTGATGGATCGTGATGAAACTTCCCATGCATGTTGGGGCAAGTATTGGCTATCATATGTTATAAGAAACTTGACCGGGTCAGGTCAGGTCACGGAGCTATGACGTCACAAGAGGAACAGCGTCCGGTACTATTTTTGAAAAGCGCCCGAACCACTATTTTGCTAATTCTTGTCACCTCAATGGGAATATGCAGCAATATTAGCTTCTATAGGGAGCAAATGGACCTCCCAAATCCAAAAATACAATCAGAGGCCTGTTTCACTAACAAATAAAGTGTGTAATTACAAAGAAAAAACTTGAGTTTAAAAGAAATAATTACCAACATTTGAAATTTGGATTTCACGAAACCTTCGGGCATGAATTTTGAGTTTAAAATTTGCAAACTTTTTTACAAGAAAAAGTTTGCTAGAAAACACGGGAATCGCAAACTTTCTGTTTCACGAAGACCAGAAACTTGAAAGAAAACATCGTAATTACAAACCTGAAATTCCAGTGGTCCTGGCGTTTGGAATTTTGATACTTTTTGTGCAATGATGCAAAGCAATCAATTATTTAAAACAAATATGATATGCTGAGTCATTATATGCTCTTTTTCACTTAGCACATTCCCTACGAACCAGCTACGAGCAATAAATAAATATCGTCATGTTTTGTCATTCGCGCGCCATAATTGCATTCAACAGTCTTCTGCTGTCAAATGTTTTACGTGTTATTTTCATTCAACAATAAGATATTGTGAACTATCTTTTATACCACTCAGAAACAGCATCATTATTTTTAATTTATTCCTGTAATTTCTGACATGAAAACTAGACATAGTTTGATAAAAAGAAGCAATATCTGTAACATGTTAAAGTTCTTGATTAAAAACAATTTTATTGTTTACAAGTTTACTAGAGGTACAGGTTCACGCGATAACTGTATGTTTTGATATGTATGATTAACGGATGCATTAGTTTGGGTGAAGAAAGTTGCATTTTTATTGGTATTATTTGTGTAGAACTTGGTAACTGCTTTTAATTGAACTGTAAAGTATGATGGTGATGCATGCGAGTTGTGCGAGCCCTTTGTAAGTTAGGATGTTACTCAATGCAACCCTACCCTACCCTACCCTACCCCTACACTACCCTACCCTACTCTACCCTACCCTACCCTACCCTACCCTACCCTACTCCTACACTACCCTACCCTACCCTACCCCTACCCTACCCTACCCTACCCTACCCTACTCCTACACTACCCTACCCTACCCTACCCTACTCCTACACTAACCTACCCTACCCCTACCCCTACCCCTACCCTACCCTACCCTTACACTACCCAACCCTACCCTACCCTACCCTACCCTACCCTACCCTACCCTACCCTACCCTACTCTACCCTACCCTACCCTACCCTACCCCTACACTACCCTACCCTACCCTACCCCTATCCTACCCTACCATACCCCTACCATACCCTACCACACTACCCTACCCTACCCTACCCTACCCCTACCCTACCCTACCCTACCCTACCCTACCCTACCCTACACTACCATACCCTACCCTACCTTACCCTACCCTAACCCTACCCCTACACTGCCCTACCCTACCCTACCCCTACCCTACCCTTCCCTACCCCACCCTACCCCTACACTACCCTACCCTACCCTACCCCTACCCTACCCTACCCTACCCCTACACTACCCTACCCTATCCTACCCCTACCCCTACCCTACCCTACCCTACCTTACCCTACCCTACCCTACCCTACCCTACCCTACCCTACCCTACCCTACCCTACCCTACCCTACCCTACCCTACACTACCACCGACAGTCCAAGTTTCAGCTAAATCGGCCCAGAAACGGCTGAGATATTGCAAAAACAAATTAAGTGTATTTACTGGCGAATCCCCTTGGCGAGCGGTGCCCTGTGTCGGCCTTCGTTGTCAAAGGTCAATGACCTGCTGGCTCTGATGCTTTTCACTCAGTTTTTTAAGCGAACAACTGAGCCTAAAGCACGTGCCCTCTGCTCGGCGCCGGTCGCGATTCTAATGCTATCCCTATGGCGCACATGAGCACGCGCCACGGGTGCACCCCCGGCCGAATCGTGCCCAAAATTTAATACGACCTGTTGAATTACGTGACCCACGAGTGGTAAAAATTTCACCCTCGTGCGTCAATCGACGGCGCCGCAATAGCCGTTTTTGGGCGTCACGCCGGCAGCGTAACCCCGACGGCGGCGGACTTTTTAAGATTTATAATAGTAGATTTACCAACTCTTTTTATCGGAGGTGCCGCTGGTGATGAAGTTTAGTGAAACCCGATTTTACATAGTTTGCAAAAATACTTATGAATTGTAAAGTTCAAACACTTGTAATCGCAAGTTTTTAGTGAAACAGGCCTCTGATTTCAAAAATTTAAATTTTGATTTTTCGAATTTCTGCCGCCGACTGTGACCTTGCCGACTTCCGGCGCTCCCAACGCGCCATTTTTAGAGCTAGGGAAACGAAATACATACCAAACGATAGAGAATTGGTCAAGGAACACGATAGTGAAGGTTTCAAGTCGATATCTCCCACCGTTTTGCCGCAATCGCCGCGGAAAGTTGAAAAAGTCTATTTTTCCGAA